AGCTCCTTCAACTTGTTCCTCAATGGCCGCCAGGTCATCATCAGCCTGTGAACCATCTGCCAACTCATCCAGCTCTGTCGCCATGGCCTCAAGGGTTTGTTGAAGCCCCTCAAAGCCGCCAAGACTCTCAGAGTCTCCACCACCATCGTCTTCACCTTCGGCAGGGTGTTCCTCAGCTTCAAAGGCCTCATACTCAGGCGGGTCCTCGTCCTCATACTCCGTGACATTGACTGAGCCGCCAAAGCCTTTTCCGCCGCCACGCCGCCATGTAGAGCTTGAAGACGAAGTAGTCGAGGGAAAGCTCTTCCGGAACCGGGACAAGGTAGAAGACGTCAAGGAAGTAGGTCGCTTAGCGAAGTTTCCATGACCGCCATGTTGAGGTCCTCCATGTCCAGGTCCATGCCCATGTCCAAAATGGACTCGCTTGAAGAGGCGAACAGCCTCCCTCTCGCAGGCACCGTAGTCCTCCGTCTCCACCCCCAAAGTCGTCTCCAGCATCTGCCGCTGCAACTCTGTGAGGGCGAGCTTCTGCTTGAAGAACCACGCCTGCTCGCTGGGGTCCACCATGATGCCTTCGGCCTTCATCTCTCCAACCAGCGTTCTGTACCGAAGTGCGAAGTTCGGTATGCTCTCACTACCTCCACGTCGAAGCTGAAGGTAGTACTTCTCACGAAGCTCACCTTTTCGGTCAGTCTGTGACCTCCCAACCATGTCATCCCAGGAGGCCAGGATCTTCTGGATTCCAGCGTCGTAGACCGCAGGTGTCAACTCAACCATCTCATCAGTCTCTTCATCCTTCACCTTCTCGGCGGGGATGTACTCGAGCTCTTTTGGATCAAACTCCAAAGCTCTCAACTTTGCGCTGCCCTTCTGCCGCATGGCAAACCTTGCGGCCAGGTTGTAGGAAGTGGTCTTCTCCAGGTCGATCGAGTGCAACCACCATTGGACGGCCTTCTTGAACTCTCTGAGGGTCTCGCTTCTGCCGTCCCAGACCGGTATGTAGCTATCGAAGCCCCGGTCATCCTTCTTCTCGTCCGTCATGAGCTCCACGAGGATGTAGTCCACCACCAGGCAACCTTCTATCCCTTGGCCGAGGGAGAGGCTTTACGCCGCCAAGGAAGTCCGTCAGAGTGACCTCCGTGAAAAAGTTCGGTCGTAGTCCACCGTCAGGGCGAAGTCGTCCACAAGGGCAAAGAAGTCCACCGAGAAGACGTAGTCCCAGGTCAATGACCTCAAGCCAAGGCCAAAGACCAGCAAGTCGAAGTCGTAGGACTGGCGTAGTCCAAAGAAGCGCCACCACCAAGCGAAGCCAAGCGAAGCGCGCACGGGCCCACGGAACCTGAGGCTCCGCTGCCACTGTAAATAGCGGCACCCGAAAACCTACGAAAGATCGAAGGAAGCGGAATGCGCACACTATTTGCTACCGTTGGAGCCAAATGCTCAAGGCCTGTCCGGCCGCAGTGAAACACATCCAAAGGCCAAACATGCTCATTCACACATATATATATAGCATGTATGTATATTAATATATATATATATACTTATATCAGGTTCGTCTTCTGCTCAATTCTATTATAATGCTCTTCTCCATTTTGCCCACTCTATCATCCAGCCATGTACGGTTCACCTCAAAGTCTCTATCCACTGTCCTCCAAAGAAGAAACGCTGCAACAGCTATTGCAATGAAGCTAAAGACTTCAACGATCACGGCAAGAATCCTTACCACACTCCACTTCTCATTGGCTCTTTCAGGCCGTCACCTTCCATCAAACACTTTCCTCCTTCGCGAAAGTGCATTTCACAGCTGCTCAACTCCTCCACTGACTTCACAACCTGAAGTGCTCTTGCTTAACCCCTCAATCAAAGAAGCCAAGAGACCATATAGTTTGATAACCTGGCTCTTCTCTCCAGCATCAGCTAAGTCCATGTCGAAGGAGTCATGTGGCTTGTCTTGAATCTCCAGGAGGTCCCGTGTGTAGTTTTCATCGACTGAGCCCAAGTATTTTCGAAGATCCAAGCCCACTATCTGAAAGCTTTGATCTCCTGCTCCTGGCTCTTGTAGTCGAGCACGCTTGGCTTTGCTAAGAGTTTTGACCAATCTGGACTAGCCTCTTTTTTCTCCTGTAAGGTTTTCTGAACCGCCACTGCCACATCTGCTGCTGCCTTTGTGCTTTGTGCCACATTTGCCAACACCTCCAACAAATTGGCCTCCTCCATCTTGTCCTAGGCCTGCCTTGCAATAAGTTCACCTTGGATTCTATGAAGTGCTCGAATCGAAGACGTTGCCTTCCAAGGTCCTTGTCTCCTTCTCCTGCAAAGAGGTTCCACCAACAACCCAAACGGTCGCCTCTATCCTTGCTGCCCTACCATACGCACGACGGTTCTGCATCCAAAAGGGTTCAACAGTAGGCATGACATGTACACAGGAGCACGACCCTCAGTTGTTCGCAAGATATTATATATATATATATATGCCCTATGTCTAGCTTTTGCGCATACAGATCATCTGGCATGTATACACATAGGACATAGGACAAATATAGAGAGAGAGAGAGACACACATGGTGTGTGTGTGAAACTGGAATCACAGGGAACCTTTTGGTTTTGAGCAGGGGACCAGGCCAGATACATCGTCGCCTGGTCAACGAAGCTGGCAATGTATTTGAGGATATGGAGATGGGATGCCATTTCCACGTACCTGCTCTACTATTCAGGAAAACTGAAGGAAATGGTACTCGACACACTTGTACGTCGGTGCCTTTCCTTCTGTTTTCCTCTATTCTACTCTATAGGTTTGCAGGTAGGCCTCCAAACTTGTAACGTGGGCCTTCAACCTGAATGCGTTGGCCTCCAACCACTAGCATTGGCCTCTAACCTTGGCTGTCTTGTGTGTCTTGTGTTTCTTGTGTTTCTTGTCACCAACCTACTAGCGATGGCCCCAAACCTGCCTTCGATGGCCTCCAACCTAAGAGCGAGGACCTCCAACTTTGACGGCTTTACAATTTCGATTCTTGTCGCCAACTTACTAGCGATGGCCCCTCAACCTGCCTTCGACGGCCTCCAACCTAAGAGCGAGGGCCTCCAACTTTGACGGCTTTGCAGTTTTGCAGTTTCGTTTCTTGTCACCAACCTACTAGCGATGGCCCCTCAACCTGCCTTCGACGGCCCCCAACCTAAGAGCGAGGGCCTCCAACTTTGACGGTTTTGCAGTTTCGTTTCTTGTCACCAACCTACTAGCGATAGCCCCTCAACCTGCCTTCGACGGCCTCCAACCTAAGAGTGAAGACCTCCAACTTTTTTGTTTCGTTTAATTTAGGCCCTCTTTTACCTAGGTCGCCGTGCGGCGAGCGGCATTCGAGTCAGCACGCATAATCTCAAATCTCAAGTGTGTCTGGCTTCATGCCAGCCCAGGGTGAGCCCGCAGAGTGCCGCCTGTGGACCCGTCGAACGGGGGTTTGTCTTGTTCCCCCTGCCTGGGAACGTAGGTGTCCGAAGCGGACAGCAGGAGGCTTATGCCAAAGTTATTTGCGGTTATTGAATTCCAAGATGGCCGCCATTTTGGCATGCCTTTAGGTGATCACAGCGGTCTGAAGTCGCCCGCCATTTTGGCATGGCACAAAAGGTGACCAAAGCGGTCAAAGCAATTTTAGGTTCATTGGAACCTGTCGAGACCTTAACCCCCTTCCTCCCTCTACCCTCCCCCAATTCCTTCTTTGTCATTTTGGGGTGTTCCTGAATGTAACACTCAGGTACACCCCTCTCCCTGGTGTGTCCCTGGACGCTTGGTCGTAGCTGGGAACACCTGTCCCCTCTCCCTTCTTCCCTTCTCTTTCTCCTCCTCTTTCTTTTCTCTTTCTCTTTCTCTTTCTCTTTCTCTTTCTCTTTCTCCTTCTCCTTCTCTCTTTCTCTCTCTCTCTCTCTCTCTTTCTCTCTCTCTCTCTCTCTCTCTCCCTTTCTTGCTTGGGTGTCCCTGGATGCTTTCGTCATAGCTGGGAGCCCTTCCTTTTTTGTGTGTCCTTGGACGCTTGAGTCCTAGCTGGGAACACCTGCGTTTCTTCCTTTCTCTCCTTCTCTTTTCTTCCTTCCTTTTTCCCCCCTCCTTTCTCGCGCGCGGCGTGCCTACAAGCAAACAAGGCTTCTGCAACAGCTTTCTTAGTGAGGTTTGGTATGTCATCGGCTTGTCCCCTTTCATTTGGTTCCCTCTTCATTGGCCCCCACAGACGGCTTTCCTTCTTTTCTTTCATGTCGTCTGTCGACATGTCTCGTGATCCTCATCCTTTCCTTTCTCTTGCGCACACTTTCGCCCGGGCCTTAGCTTGTACACATACACGCACGCGTAAGCTATTTTAAGCTAGGCTCAGGCGCCCCAGGCTTGCTACAATGAGGTTTGGCTCATCGGTTGTCCCTCTTCACTTGGTTCTTCTTCATCGGCAACCACACACACACACACACTTTTTGTCTGTCTCGTCTCTTTCATTTTCATTTGTCTCCTTTGCGTGCACATGTGCCTCGCATAACCCCCTTTCCGGGCAGGATGGGGGTGCCTCCTTTCCAGGCAGGATGGAGGCCACGCATGCCTCCCCTCGGGGGGGCATGTGTGTGAAGCCCTTAGAGTCACAGGGAACCTTTTGGCTTTGAGCAGGGGACCAGGCCAGATACATCGTCGCCTGGTCAACGAAGCTGGCAATGTATTTGAGGATATGGAGATGGGATGCCATTTCCACGTACCTGCTCTACTATTCAGGAAAACTGAAGGAAATGGTACTCGACACACTTGTGTGTCGGTGCCTTTCCTTCTGTTTTCCTCTATTCGACTCTATAGGCTTGCAGGTAGGCCTCCAAACTTGTAACGGGAGCCTTTACCTAGGTCGCCGTGTGGCGAGCGGCATTCCAGTCAGTACGCATAATCTCAAGTGTGTGTATATATTAGTATATATATATATGTTACTGTATATATATATATTATATATCAATATATGTCTGCCTTTCCCATTTCGCACCTGTACCTCTTGAGGCTCTTCCCAGAAGAAGCGCATGCTGTCGATGGCCTCGAGCATCAGCGACAGGCACGTGATGCAACCGCTTGGATAGCCCTGAGATGCCTACCCATGCTGGAAACCTCTTGCACCCCACTGTACTCATACATGTACACACCTGGCTGTGGGTCAAATCCAGGGAACCCATGGGAACCAGCGATGCACTCCGTTTCGTCTCCTGGGCTCAGGTCACCGGCCCAAGGCTTCCGAGGGATCTGTGACTGCCGTTCTGCTGGGTTCCAGACCACTGCATAGCGTGCAGATTTGTAAGTACTTCGGTCTCCCTAGCAGCGAGGGAAGCAAAAAGAGATTCTTATGACCTCCAATTGCATGTTGGACAAGCCAAACCTCATGAGGCGTTCGATCTAAACGCTCGTTCCGGTCTCTGAAGAATAGACTAAAGACGCGGGGCGGGCCCCTCCATCCATCCAAAGGTGGAACATGAACCCGAAAGGAAAACGGATTTCCTCTACGAACAGGCCGTTTTTCACTTCCATGACTCTTGGAGAACAAACAAAGGAACAAATCATGGGATGGAATAAGGGGATCCAGAGGGCAAAGAAATTGTGAGCGCCCTGCAGACTCGTCTTGTTTTTGTCTTCCGGCTGGAAAGCATCAAGACGTGGTTCCAGACGGGACAAGAAGTTGCGATCAGGGAGTGAGTTTAGGGTCCCAGAGTTCCAGGGTTCCAGCCAAGTGTTGCAATCAAAATCTGATTCCAGTGTAAAAAAGGCTTCAGCCGATGTTGCTTCCAAATTGCCATAAAGCCCAGTTCCGGGGTCACTCAGGGTGAGGCCGGGTTGCAGGGTTCCAGGTGGAAGGTCACTCTGTTGAGAGGGAGCGCCAGGGGCCAAGTTGCAAGCAGGGCATGGTTTCTGGTTTCCGGGTTTCGAGCAAGAGGTTGCAATCCAGATCTGATTCTGGCTTTTCAGAGTATCACAAACTTGCGAACAGGACCTCGTTTTGAAGTGAAACCTTATAGCTTCTAACTATCTTGGAAAAAAATCCTGCGATAATGAAGAATCTGATCTGGTACCCTGTTGCCAAAAGGTATCGCTACAGCGGCCTGCTTTGGTGCAGTCCGCTCAAGCTCTTGCTCCAGACACGCGTTCACCTGTGGAGCATCAGGAGCGTCAGGAGCATGTTCAAGTAACATCCCAAGTGAGATGTCACTGTTCAAGTGACCCTCCGAGTCTTTGGGAGGAAAGGGATGGTCTTGTCGTACCAATTCTTCCAGTGCGTGGTATCTTGATAGGGGGAGCCATGCCTGTGGTATCTTGGTAAGCAAGACTTGCTGCGCTCGCCGCAATTGCTGCGCGGTCATCCTGCAAGCAGTAGAAGGGCTGTCTTAGTTAGTTCAAGCAAGGACATTGGATCTGGGCAATTCTTGCCGCTTCATAATTTCCAGGTCTTTACTTCCAGCTAGGCGTTTCGTGTCTGTGTAGCTCACCAATCTTCCCTCAAGTTGAACTGTTGGTCAGCCTGCAAGCAGCTAGAGCTTGAAAGCAAGCCCAGAGGGACATGCCAAACACCTGCCACGGTGCTGGTTGTTGCATCTCTTCCGCACAGACTTGTGATCTTAGACTTCCAAATCCTTTGCCAGGTGCACGAGCCACTGCAAGAGCAAGGCAACTGCCACGGGCACAAAGACCCCCAACTCGCGGGCCACGGACCTCAAAAGTGAGCAAACCAAGAAGACCTCACCTAATGTGGCCTAAGTCAAGGTAAGTATTGATGTTGAGTGCATTTCATGTCTATGTTGAGGATATCTTGGTGTTCTGAAACCCAAACCAATTCATTGTGTACTTGAGGATAGTTAGGTGAACCGGCTGACAAGAAGAAACAACTGCTTTGATTCTTTCAGGGGCATTCCAGGATTGGTTCGAACGGGATTTCTAGGAGCACGTGCTCGTGTTTGGGCATTGACCACCAAGCCCTTTTTTCAATATGGATACAGTAGTGGCATGACTCCCATCATCACACCTTGTCCCTTCCTACTACTCATGCAAGACCCATCGACCTCAAAGCTTCAATCGACCGCATCTCCGGGTTCCCGGTCGCTAAGACTTCCAAGCGTTGAAGGCGCTGCAGGGCCGCTTTCTCCCGCTTCCGCAGCTGCTGAAGCCGCGCCCAAACGGCCGACTCCCAAGCAAAGAGTTTCACCTGAAATGGGGAGAGAGGAAGAGCCATGCAGATGGAGATGGATCCTTCACCTGGACCAGCAAAGCAAAGGCTGCATGTCTCATGATGTAACCTGTTCTCTGGTGAATCCAAGCTCCACCTTCCGGAATCCCCCCCCAAAAGAAGATCCATCGTTTCAGCCCGCGTTTTGGGGTATATCGTTTCGTGGGTCGAAGGCATCGTTTCGTTGCCTTTTCCGATTCGATGATGGATGGATGTTCTGGGTGCGCAACGCATCGGTGAAAGGCGGGGTTTTCCGAAGGCTCCCACTGTGACTACATGAGACAACACGGAAGCCACACTGAAGACGTAAGACAACATGAATATGGTCTTCAATGGGTCGATGTGCATGTCGTTTCTTTGCGAAGTTGGAAAGTGTCAACAACTCAATGGTTGCCTGGCAGATGAAGCAATTAGTTGGAATCCATCCACAAGAGTGGACTAGCCGAGCGATGTGAGACTCCAGGTGACGAGCTGCATGGCCTTTTGAGGCGAGAGTCTGTCGCAGAGGCACAACCCATTTCCATGGCGAGAGCTGCAGCTGACATTGCCTGCACTGATCTTGGGAAGAAGTCTGCTAGAAGTTACAAACAAACGTGTGTGTGTGCATGTATACACATATATATATATATATATGTACCTGAGAAGGGAGGGGACGAAAGCCAGCCTCTGGGTTAGGGGGGTGCCCTTAGGGCGAGCCTGGCGCTCGCCTGCTGCTTTTATTCATCTCCAGTAGATGGACTCAAAGACGTGGCGTGCAAGATGAAGTGATTGGCTAACATCGGGCAAAGAGTACTTTTATGGGGTGAAGTTGACATCGCAGCCACCCCGATAGGGGGTAGAAACAAGAAGTAGAATACATAGGTTTCGGGGGGGGTGCCCTTTTTCGTCCTGGTTCAGGGACGGTTTGGAGGTGAAAAAGGGCACCCCTAAGGAAGTGAGGGGCGCTTGTCTGCTGCGTGTTGCTAATCAGTGAGCAAAGATGGGGGGGCGCATGGGCGGGCCAATCGGCAGGCTTTCGTGAAGATACATATATGTATACAGTTAGAGTGGACAAAGAGTAGCTGGAAGTGGTGAAGTTGATATTGCAGCCACTTGAAAAAGGGTATAGAAAGTAGAATACATAGGTTTGGGAGGGGTGCCCTTTTTCGTCTTGATGTAGGGGCGTTGTGGAGGTGAAAAAGGGCACCCCTGTAGTCCGGGGAAGGTTTGGTATGGTGTGTTGGTCCATGGGGGGGTGGAGCTCGGCATGAATCAAAGTCAAAAATGTGATAATTGGTGGTTTTAATTGAATTGAAACATCATTGTTGTGGGCTTAATGAAAGCCAAATAAAACCAATAAAGTCTTGGAAATTAGACCTCAACCCCGCCGATCGAAGTCAACGTCACCATCGGACCCGGTCATGTCCAGGTCATCCTCCGCTGTGCCTGTTTCATCCGTATGAACTCCTACCCCATGTGGGGTGCCCAGTCCGGCAACTAGGCCTCTCCACCGGTAAAAAAACGGCACCCCGAAGCAACTCAAAACCTTCCGCCTCCGCTGCGCCTGCCTCATCCACATGACTTCCCACCCCATAGGGGGTGCCCCTTTGAGTCTGGCAACGAGGCCTCTTCACTATAAAAACCGAGCACCCCCTAGCAATTCAACGCTTGCCCGTGCAATCTCTTCTCTCTCCTGCCCTCAACAGATGGCATCATTACATGCACTCGCACCCTACTATATGGGGCGCCTTATTGCATCGACACGCTTGGTAGAAAATACTCGTCCTCTGCTGTGCCTGTCTTATCCACATGAACTCCCACCCCATATGGGGTGCTCTCTTGAGTCCGGCAACTAGGCCTCTCCACCAGTAAAAGAGGGCGCCCCCAAGCAGTGCAAAGCTTGTCCGCTATACTGCAATGGCGTCGCAGCCCCAAGCAACTCCAAGATTTCTTGCAAGCCCTCTTTTCCTACCCATCCCCCTCCGCTATGTCTGTCTTCCAGCATTCTATTCCCCTTCCGGCCCGCACAGTGTCTTAAGAGACACACACACACACACCTCCCTCTCACACCTAGTCGAACACGAGTTCAAGAGCCACCAGAGACACACATCTCCCTTTTCTGGAAGTCGCGTCCCTTGTCCTCCCTTTCCTCTCATCGACATGAACTCCCACCCCTAGTAAAAACAGTTTACATGGCCTTCTGAGCCCCTCATGATGCTGATGATGCACTCTTCGCCGTCAATTACAATCACTTGCATCACAACACTCCAAAAACTATTCACTTTCACTACCTCCTGGCCACCTCTTTTTTTTCGATCTCTCCCACCAGGCTCTGGGTTAGCCTCTCCGAGATTGGCACCCCCCCCCTTTACTCACTTCGTTCGCTCCCCTACCTCAAGCCTTGCCTATCGGCTGGCTTTCGTGATATTATATATATATACAGTAGATTACAGTAGTATTAATTACTACTATATGTGTATATATCACAAAAACATAGTTACCCACCTGAACTGCGAAGGAACGAGGTCTTCGTGACACTTGTCGACAACATGCTGCCGGGGGCCTCCCTCTGCTCTCGCAAGTGCATAGCTTCTTGCTTCCAGCGGGGCGTCAATTTGCGCAGAAGCACCTCCGATAGGCACAGCCGTTAAGAGCTGAGTGCTGACCCAAATAAAACCAAAAACGTTGGAAAGTAGGCATCCTCGAAAGCATACCAACTCGCACGTCAAGATCAAAGTCCTCTGTAAAGATCACCGAGAGCCCTGGTAGAAGTCTGTATTCAAAAGGAAGCATGATAGAGTGTGGTACTCTGGAAATCTGTCAGTCATCCTTAAGAGGTGTAACTCACAAGGGGGGTATTAGATCCTATGGTTTTTTTAGTAGGTAATCATTAACCAGTGTAACTCAAAAGATCTCGTATGCCCTGCAAAATCACGAACCTGGAGTCTTCAAGTCTAATCAAGTCTAACAAGTGACTCTCGTGGGTTTGACTCGCGTTTTGACTCTCGTCTAGAGACTTCATGCCAAATGGGTCACTTCAGACAAGTTTGCAGCGTGTCTTGTTTCTTTGTTTCTAATAGCGATGGCCTCCAACCTAATAGCAAACTATGTTATATGAGTGTCGTTTCAAGTCTCAGACCTCCAGCCCCAGCAGCAGGAGCTGCAGAAGGAGCAGCAACGGAGCCATGGCTCCAAGCGTCATGAGCAGCAAGCCAAAGGTTAGAGCCGGATTCGGAAACTAATCGGTCGGATTCTGAAACTAGGGTTCTGAAACTGGGGTTCTGAAACTAGGGTTCTGAAACTTGGATTCTGAAACTGGTATTCTGAAACCGGGGTTCTGAAACTAGGATTCTGAAACTGGGGTTCTGAAACTAGGATTCTGAAACTGGGATTCTGAAACTAGGATTCTGAAACTGGAAAGTCAGATTCTGCAACTGGTATTCTGAAACTGGAAAGTCAGATTCTGCAACTTGCCTTCTGAAACTTGCAACTGGTGATCTCCACATCACGCGATAGCGTGTGTGCCTGTGACATCACCTTCGAAGCACATCCAAACCAACGTCATTAGCCCCCCACCCAACCCCCCCCCCCCCCAACCCCCCCTTGTCCCCATCGTGTGATCTCGACATCCCTCATCATTCACAAAGTTGCGGAATCCTAGTGAGGGAGTCCACAATGTTGCGGAATCCTAGTTGCGGAACGCCAGTTGCGGAATCCCAGTTGCAGAATCCTAGTTGCGGAATCCTAGTTGCGGAATCTTGACAGTTGCGGAATCCTAGTTTCGGAATCCTAGTTGCGGAATCCTAGTTGCGGAAATCTAGTTGCGGAATCCTAGTTGCGGAATCCTAGTTTCGGAATCCCAGTTGCGGAATCCCAGTTGCGGAATCCGACCAAACAGTTGCGGAATCCTAGTTGCGGAATCCTGCGCAGTTGCGGAACTCGACTTTATCCGCAAGCCAAAGCCAAGGGAAAGACCCAGCATCGGTGCAGCAAGTTGAAGCCTGTGCAAACAGGAGCACTGTGGAAAGACAACCCGATGTGCGACACCTTATCGCATATGAACGATAAGGAAACAGGATGATGAATATGCGACCCCGGCCCCAATGTCTACCTATCGATATGCAAAGCATGCATAAAGGAACACCTGCCCACGGCTGACAAAGACTCTACATTTAAAGTTAAACATAGTTATTACCGGGTTGAACCCCAAACCTTCAATCTGCAGCCTGCCCCCGGATGCCAGAAATTGTTCCTGCGATATTGTATCTTGAATCAACTTGAATCCTGGCTTGGGATTGCACTTGGAGTTTGGGGGGAATAGGGTTCGTTGCAAGGCGTCTACTTGCTTCAAATGGTCTTGCTTAGAAACTTGTTCCGCTTGTTCTTGCTTAAGTATCTTAAGTGTTCAAGTTTGGCGTTACAACATTTCGTTGCTTTTAACATGCTAAATGTTCAGGAACAATAACCAAACAATGCATTTCCTCTGGAAATTGAGTTTTTCCTAAATAATTTCACTCCGAGATTGAGATCCTCTTCTTGAAACAATGCTGGGTAAGGGTGTGGTGAAAAGGATTGGAGACAAACACTGTGATTACTAAACAAAATAGCACCCATTCGAACACTTTGTGTGCGTGAAAACATGGTCTACTGGTGGCTCAAAGCCCATGGTTCTTCAGCCCTCCCGGCAAAACTGGAAGCTTGGCCGCTTGAGGATCCTCATTGGACCTTTCGGTTGGACCGGACCGCCAGAGGAACTCTTCATGAGTCACAGCGGAGTCCCACTGGCAATGGCAGAAAGGCCCACGTGGCGGTATGCGACAGGTCAAGCCTGGAGCTTCTTGTCCCTCGGACAAATCTTCCATTTGGACATTGCTCCCCACTTTCAACCAGTAGTTGATGACATGGAGGGGTAAATTCATGGAATATGCCCCAAGAGAGCCGATGTATGTAGGCACTGCATCGGAAAAGTCCTTCAACGCCATGGGACGGCATGGGACGCCGGACGATCGAGTCAGAACTTGTTGCTTTTCCTGAAAGGGGAGCCACTCATTTGCGCTCAGCTCTCGCTTGGGAAGACCATGCTGAACTGACCTTTGAGGCGTTTGAGAAGGCCGTCTATGGAACAGTACAGAAGCCCAATGACTCAGCTTAGAGTTTTGAGGATGTGGGCAATGGCACAGCACAAAGCAACAAAGTAACCTGTCATGAAGACAAGAAGAAGCTGTTGGCCATGACCAGTGGCGTCGTGGATCTCAGCGCAATCAAGAATGCTATGCACAGTCAACCAATGTCCTGACAGGTGGAAGTAGACATGAAATAGAAGGAGGAGGGCCTAGTCAGGCATGCGGAGGATGAAGACTTCGCACCAGACACGTTGGAACAGTTGGCAATCATGGGGAGCCACATATCGCAGTGCCAGGTGTCCCTCCGAGAATTTGCAGTGAATGGTACCAGTAGACTTCAGTTCACAGAACTGAGTGAGCCAGCTGAAGTGCCTTTGATACTCGAGAAGATCGAGGAAGAGCCGACTTTCGCAGAAATTTAGTGGAAGCTGAGTCTCATCCCTTCAGTTCAACAGTACTTCAGTCCATCTGCAGTTGACCTCAAAGAAGGTTGATAGATTTCAGACAGAAAGGAGCGCTCTGAGTGGCGCGTTTTTGCATTGGTTCATTTTGTTTGTATTTTGTTTCTATATTTGTATTGTGTTTCTATTGATTTTTGTGCCACTGAAAGAATCCTATTCTGCCTCAACCCCCCCCTCCCCCAAAGGCAATTTCCAAAATTCTAATTTTCCAAAATTCCAATAAAAACAAAAAAAAAAACAATTGTGCCAGGACTTTGCCTCACCCCCTCTTCCCCCCATGGTCTGTGCAGAATTGTTTTTTTTGTTTTTTTTGGTTCTTTTGTTTTTTTGGAATTTTGGAAAATTGGAATTTTGGATTTTTGATGTCCTGGGATATTTTAAAATTGTCAATTTCCTTGGAAGTAGACAATACTCCCACTTTCCCTCAATTCCAGAACAGTCTCTGAAATCAAATGACAAAAAACCTCAGTGATTTGTTCATTAGGGTCTAATAATGCTCCTTCTGCTCCTTTAACTCAAATTGGTAAAACCTGACATTTTAGAATTATAACCAGCAAAATTGACATCTGCCATCTTTTCAAATGACATACCAATAATGAATTTGTTCTCTCTGTATTGACGATACGAAAAACTTAAACTGTCTTGATCTGGGTTCATGTAATGTATAGCTCTTCCTAAATAGTAAAAGGTTTATGATAATGATTGCGCTTCAAATTCTGGGTATTTCTGGGAATTGCTTAATTGAATTTGCCAACTGAAACTACGGGTGGCATCTTGAAAACCTTTACCTTGTAAGTCATTTGTATCAGCATTACCAGTATCATTAATTCTTCCATAGATCATAGGATTGTAAAAATAATTCCATCTCTTATATACATAATTGTCAGGTAAGTATCGGTTCAGATCTTCACCACTTCTTGGAGTTCTAAATAAGGTAATGAATGCTCCAGTCAGCTTAGAAGATGATTTTACAATATTCATATTAATTTCACCACCACCAGCATTGAATGTTTGGGTGATTGTGTGATAACAATTTGTAATGTTTCTTATCTTTGCCATTCCGCCCCCTTCTACGTCCTGCCATTCTGACACTCAATGGCTGACAAGTAGCACCAATATAGACATCGCTGCCTTGGAGTAACCCACCATAATATTGCATATGTTAATTAAGTTTAAATGTTTTTTTTTTTTTAAATGAGTGATTAGGGCTAAATCCATTGCTTATATTGGTGCCGGGATTGATGTTCCAAAGGCCGTTCCCTTCAAAATTGATATAGCTGTGGCTCATTAAAGGGTTAGGTTCTTTCAAATCAGAAGATACAGCGTAACCATCCAAAATTGAAACAATATCGGATGGATTGCGGTAGTCAAGTCTTTTGGGATGTTATTTCCTTTCCTTTTTGTTTTTATTGTAGGGGTAGCATAGGTTGTTGTAGCAAATCTATTAGGTTGTTCTTGATTGATCTTACTACAGCACTTGCAAGGCTACGTCCAACCAAACGGGTTATTTCTGGTGACTTTTCCAATTCTTCTATAACATGTTTGTATTTCTCACTGTGATGAACATTTCTAGTAGGTACTAATAACAGATCATCCATAATATCCCTTGTTAAAGATCCATCACGACCACCTGTGCCACGTATGTATAAAGTCTTACCTGTTATACCTGTTTTGTAAAATCCACTTGGTGATGAATAGGCATTCCATAAGCCCCTGCGGTCTTCTATCTTCTCCTTGTTTGCTACATTTTTTCTTCAGCATATAGTGCTCTATGTTGTTTAAAGTGATCATTTAAGTTTCTTGTAAAGTCATTCATTCTATCATTCCAGTTTTGGTTCTTTTTTTCATAATCACTGTAGGTTTCTTGACCGATCTTACTGATTAACATCTGGGTGCTTCCAGGCAGATCCTTCCAGGCAATGTCAGACACATCAATCATTCTCAAGAAAACGCATGAAACAGGTTGAAAAATGCTCATGTTCATCGAAAAACGCGCCGCTCACAGCGCTCCCCTCTCATTTCAGAATCTGGCACAGCGATTGTTCCAGAACATCCAGCACAACCGGCTTTCGATTATTGAGGAAGCAAACAAGTAAAGAAAGATAGCAGGTTCTCTGACCGTTTACGACGCTTGTTTCAAAGCAACCGTCATGATGCCAAGAGAATTGGGGACACGGACTGGAGCGCATGTTCTTTTGAGATTCCAGTTCGCCAAACTGTGCATTTTTGACTTCGATTGCCCACACATTACGGTTCACGCCATCAAGTCGTTGAAGAAGTATCCGTCGGCGGCCGTTTGAAGACACGAAGTTCATGAAAGGCAATTGACTGAGCAGACTGAAGACACCGTGTTTGACACCTTAAAGGTCCAGGGACTGTATTGGAAGTGATCGAAACATGCCTGCTCGGGCCTGCTATTGTCATCCAGATGCGTACAAACTTGGAAAACCGATCCCCCTCAGAATAGATATAAGAGGATACGAAGATCCAGAGTTGAGTGAACATCTGTATCAACACAAAGCCCGGCTTTATCCCGAGATGTAAAAATGATGACTCTTTAAACGATATCCATCCGCCACTGGAGGCTCCATGGTTTTGACAAGGGCTGCCGGGCTTTCCGAAACGTGGAAACCTGATGCACGTCGACTGGCCACTGGCCACGTGTTCCTGAAACAAAGTCATGAAGGTTCGGAGAGGAAGAAGCAAGTCTGCGAAAAAGGGGATAGCATGCAGAAGAGTGGACGCCACTCCATTATTCTTCTACGAAGACGAAGAGTTTCGTAGAAGACTTGAAGAACAAGCTTTTGTGGCCCATCCAAATGGACACTTGCTTGTGTGTGCTTCGGGAAAAAGACAACCCCGAAGTGTTAGAAGGATTCCTGGCTACACACATGGGTGATGAAATCGGAGGGCGAACGCACATTCTCGAAAAACACCCTGGAAAAACTTCTGGCCCCTTTCGACTCACTGGGATAGATCTTGAATGCCCGACTACTCAATTCAAATTACTACCCTTCGAAGATCGACCCCATTGATACTCCAAAAAGAATCGAAGGAAAGAATTGCAAAGTGAAAACTCCACATGAACAATTGAGAGGCCGCATGAGAGCTCAATGCCGCATTGAGAGGCCGCATTGAAAATTCATGTTTGATACTTTAGTAGCGGCCTCCAGTGCTCTTCAACAATTCACCATTGAGAGCTCTTTGCGGCAATCTTCAGATGCAGTGCATTGGAGGCCGCTACTATTGCTAAGTCGCCATAAAAACCATAATGCCATAAGACCTGTCATTCCAAGTTTGAAGACTTGGAAGGAAACAAAACCCCAAGAGAAGCCAAGGAACACAGCCATCAATATTCAACCAGTTTCTCTTGAGGATGCTTTGGAGATGCCAGCATTGCTTCAGAACCCCAATTGAAGGCTCAGTAAGGTCTCTCCATGAAGATCTACAGCTAAGTTGATCCTCAGAGGCCTCTCCCACAGCCTAAGCAAATAGGCCATGTAGCAAGATCAACACTGAGTGCCCAGGCATATGCCATGTCATCATTGATAGATAAACTGGCATGGGCCCGATACTTTTGGGGATTTGCCAGCAGCCACTCTTCAAGTGGTCTCAACCAGAGAAGTCACTTCATGATCTGTTCATTGGGACCGTTGACAACGGTTAGCAAGAGTTTGTACGACTAGATGACAAAGTTTTTAGGTTCCAAATAGTCAGAAGTTGACGACGATCGTAGCTGATCAAGGAACAGGCAGATTCTCATTCCCTATGCTGATGGGTTTCAATATGGTTCAATTATGTTCAATTATATATTGCTATCATGTTAGCAGATGTCAGCAGAAGATATATAATTTGACCAAGCCTATGGACACGTCGTCTTTACGTAAAGTTTGTTAGAACACTGCGAGCGGAAAGGTACACTCTGTCCAAATCGGATGTATGGAAGTGAATACTGGCTTGAATCATTCCTTCTCAGAAATATGTATATTAAGCAATGTGAGTTCTCCGGTTCTCCAAAAGGATCGTACGGAATGTCCTTCAAGAATGTCAACTGCAAATGCCGGAAGGATCTCGTCTGGTGTTCTAGGGACCTTTCAGTTGGAACCCTGACCGTTGCCAGTGAGACTCTTTACGAGTCACGTGCATGCATAATGCATATACAGTATACATCGATTTGACTAATATAACAATATATATATATATAAACCAATTATGAGAATAGTAGACTTAGTAGACACTGTGGAGAGTGGTGTGGATCCAAGACTTGGTCTCATGAGTCATGAAGCTATCCGCACGTGGCGAGGGACTTGTGCAGCTCTGTTGGCCCTTCAGGCCTTGAGCCCTTCGCTGTAGCCTCAACCAAACGCGGCACAGCATTCAGCAGCTCCGCCACGCTGCAGGCGGCGGCGGCACCCGAGGTCGTGGCACGCCGAAAGAGGAAGGCGCACAGGGCAGAAGATGCCTAGAGGGCCAAGAAGAGAGAGAGAGAGAGATTGTTGCCGAATAATGTAGACTCTTGATTAATGAACCCCCCCTTTGGAGAGGATGTTCAGTTCAAATGGGGGGGTGTATTAATCAAGAGTCTACATGATACATCATGATACCACACAGGATTGACGATTCTTCAATCACAACTCACAAATGATTCATGTCCTAATGGCAGCTCACAGACCAGACTGTGCGAAGAGTTTCGTTGCTCTGGTCAACGGGCGTGGTTTGCAATGGCTTTCATCAACCCAGAGCCTGCTCCACGATCTTTACACGCCTGAAAACGAGGAACAACCACAAGACTCAGAAGAAAGAATAGGAATTGACTCGGGATTCCACCCTTTCCAAAGCGAAAATGACCAACACTGAAAGCGATTCAAGGTGACTACTGTAGACGTCTTTTGCAGCCGTTGCACTGAAGGTGACTACTGGCCCCTTGAGATTCGATCCTTGCCTGTGTTTTGCCACTTGCTGCAAGAAACGAGCCAGAACAATCAACAGTGCAAAGGGAACCTCAGACTGCTCAGCGATGGAGAGGGCGTGGGCAAAGGAGCGTTGTATCTCTCTCCTACTACTGAAACCATTCTTTGCACCCATCTCTCGTTCTTAGATTCCTTTTTGAATCTTCTTGACCAGCCAATAATGCTGCTGAAACACATGCAAACTTGGTTACAAGAGGAAGAAACCAGCAAACAGAGATTGCAGTTGCTGCAAGCTTGAGCTTTCCTCGCTTTGCTCCAGCAACACCCGGGTCATCAGCCAAGCCACCGAACGCCAGGCAGGGTGTTCCGCAGCCTCTCCCAACAAGCTGAGCCAAGTTGGAAGGCCAAATTCCAACTCTTGCAACACCTGCGAAGGAGAAACCCCTTGCGAAGAAGGTCATGTATGGCCTGGCACATGTGCCCCACCAAAATTGTTCAAAGAAAATAGGCTATCGGGATGCCAATCCACCATGGTTTTGGACCCTGAGCTGTATGATTGGCCTGCCCATACTGCCCCCACCTCCAACAAGCGTTCGAGGAAAGCTTTGCTCCCAAGTTCGAAAGCGAGGTTAAGCTGTAGAAGGCTCTTGTACTACATCAAAGCAGGGATCTAAATTGTGTGTGTGAGTCACGTAGCACCAACAAGATGACTTAGGAAAATACTCCATGGAGCTTTCTGGAGCCAAAGGCTGTGTGAACCTTCTATCTTCGGAGCTTGCCAGACCAAATAAAAATCTCTCCGTGGTAACTCAGTCCCAACCAGAAACAAATATGGTTGCTTCCAATATGACAATGGAGAGAGATCCTTTAATGACATCACAATGTCTTGATTTGTGAACACATCCACTATTATCCACTGGTTTTCTGGGTTGGGACTGGCTTTCAGGTCCAAAACCATGGCATGAACCCAGGAAACCAGCTGCCCCGCCGACCTCTCCACCCGTCTGGTCTTCACCTCAACCGATCCGTCCCATGGCTCCGGGGCTCCGGACCAGGCCGAGGCTTAAGACCACGAGACTCTGAAGGAACACCGCCAAGACCTCCCAGAGCACCAGGCGGCGCAGCCTCCAACCACAGGCCAGCGACAGGCCGCAGGTCCAAAGGCGGTGAACGCATGGTGAAGAACATTGAAGAACTATCGGCCACTCCCTGGTGGAGTGTTTACTCCTGCATTCAACAACTGAATGCGCCCATCCGCCTCAATCCGCCAAATGTGGGTCGGCGGACCGACGTAAAGACGAGACGACGCTCGTGACGACGCTCGAGAGTGGCCCACCTGTCATGGCAAAGCTTCTGTGCAATGGCTGTGAGGTCGAAAGAACCATCCTGCAGCACGGCGCATGAATCAAGAAGCTAGCTCCAAAAGTTCGTGGACATGAAATGAATCAACTCCGTTCGAACGGCTCATGTCCAAATGCTTCAGATGGCCTGCCGGTCTCTTACAAGCATGTTATGACAAAGCCCAACGTTCTCCTCTCGGATGGTTGCAATAGAAGACACTGGACTCTGCTTCACTGCATGTCCCTGCGGCGAGGACGCAGCATCCAGCAGCATCATCAGGAACCGTCATGAACTACATCCATTCGTTGTCAACGACTGGAACAGGTTATGACATGTCAAGCCAATGTAAGTCGAGATTGAGTCTGGAAGCAAGACAGTGCAAGAGGTCAAATGACTTGTTGACGAGAAGAAGATAAGCCCCTGAGGCGTAGTTGCAAATGCAAACTGAAGAAGTCAGCAACACCTTCATTGGTAAAATTAAATCAAAAAAAACTGCAGACTTGAGACTCACAATGGCCGTCAGAAAGATATTAGAATCTTTTTGAATTGAGGATCTCGGGCTCAGGACCCCTTGAGTTCTTTTGCTGCAAAGGCTCACAAAAATGCGACGGATCACGGCCCCAACGATTGGAGGTGTACATACATCGGTCACAATACTGGACTCATATCAATGATGTCTTTTTGGGATAGTGGAGGGATCCATGACCTGGTACGTATTGGATCCTATTGGCTGTTCGCGACCGGGGGCCCTCCATCAATCCACCAACCACACAATCAATAGCAAAAAGCCGTCTATGACCCCCTTCCACACCCCATCCCACATGTGTCCTGTGGCAGCAAGACCCGGAGGCCCTCTGCTGTCAACTGAGTGCGATAAGCCTGGTGCGGGAGGTCAGGAGTTGGACCCAAGAAACATGCAAGGGCCTAGTGATGTCCAACGAAAGTTCTCATCGAAGTTGCAAAAAAGAAGACATGACAGTTCCGAACTTCTGCTGCTCTATCCAGACCAGGACAAACACCCCCAAAGACGGGAGAACTGACGAACTAGGTCTTTGTGGAAAGTTCAACTGTCCGTTTGAGCGGTGGATGGCCCATCCCTGTCTGAATGGTATCCGCACCTCTGGTGCTTCCAGCTGCATCATTTCACAACACAAGACAGCTGCAGTTTCTTTTAAAGGTCCTAAGTTGCAAGTGAAGTCCTTATTACTGTACAAGCACTGTCTTCAGGCCACTCCTGGTTGTCAGCGCATCATGATCTGTACAAACACACACGTTGCAAGTTGTAGTGAGATCATTTTCAAACTAGAGCTACAGACTGGAGTCTTTTGAAGCGCCACTGCTGTGGTACCTCTGTGTACAAATGGAACTTTGCCACTTTATTCATGACGGGTGCAAAACAACAGGTATTAGAAAATGCTTCTGTCTTGATCTTGGCAAACAAATCTCAAATTGAAAAGGCCGCCCACAGTTGACCTGGAACATGCCAAGTGAACCCTGTCAACCACCAAGCGTGTCTGAGATGTCACTCTGGTGTCTATTGTAATAGGGAGACTCCGCAACCAACGGGTCTGGGTCTGTTTGTCCTCTCCCCATGGCTTGTTGGAGAAGGGTTCCCCGGTTTAATACGCACCAATGTAAAAGGACATGTTTTCACTCCAATAGACTCTAGACTCTAGCACGGAGCTCTTGATTAATTCCGGCTCACCAGGACCCAAGTTGTAACATTGCGCTACAACTGGGTACTGGCACCAACTTTCTTCAATTGAAGGCAAGGCCTGGATTCAAGGAAAAGCTGTTCAACCTCTCACAATGCTACCCTGATCCTAAGTTTAAGTCATCTTCCCAGTGTCAATGCTTGTGTCCTGCAGTCCTGCACTGCCACTCCTGAAATTGCTAAAGAGTTTTTGGGTCTGAGACCCGTAGCCGAGGCTCTAGCCTTCGTTGCACCCAAACATATATTTATTCTCACCCCGAGCATTGACAACACCCGCCAAACTCAGAGTACGGGGCCTACGCCGCGTGCACCGTTTCCGGCTTCGGGATTGGGTCCAAGTCTGAAGCTCAAGAAGCTTTTCGAAGAGGAAGCAGTCGACACAAGAAATGAAGCGCCCTGTGGCGCACGAAGGGGTGCCAT